CAAATGTAGATGCTGATCATGTAATAATTCAAGAGCCATGTAGTTTTGGGAAATTTGCAACTAAAAATGCATCTATGAGAAATTTGCATGTGGAAAAATACATTTTGCATTAAGAAAAATGTTCTAATTTTGTAAAATAATGTAAAACCATCCTTTGAAGATCCAGCAATTTCACCAATAAATCCGAAGGTTGAATCAGCAACTTCAACCTTCATGAGATTTACATCCTTGCCAGGTTTGATAACCACATTTTTCCCTACAATGAGATATCAAACAATAGCAAATACAATGTATATTCCCATAAAAAATGGAGCCTTTTTTCTGTGTCAGACACATGGGATGATCATCAAATGAGGCTAAATTCCTGCAATAGGCACTGCTTAACGTCATTGAGAAGAGGAGATCAGAATATTCGGTGGAGAATAAACTCAAAAGAAAACCAACATAGGGATCATAGAGAATGGAAGCAAGCCAAAACGAAAACCATACAGTTTGCAGTTTGCCCCTTTGGATGAAACATCCATCAAAACCAATACAATCACTTGTTAAAACTTCTCAAAATGATTTTTGCAAAATAGCTTCACTTCAGGTGCAGGGATTATTCTGTTTCTTATGTTACCCATATTAGCACCCTTGTATCCAGAATTTGCATATGGAAATGTCAAATTCAATAACATTTTAACACTTTATGCATTGATGGATTTAAATAGTTCGTCATCATGACTAGAATCCTGAATCCAGGTTGCAAGAGTTTCTTGAATCTTTATTAATTCTTTGGAGGAGCAAAGAGCTGAGTTTTGAGGTCATTATGATTTACCATCAGATCATGGTCATAGAAGTTACAGAATCCAGATGCCACAGGCAACTTATGCAAAGACTCTTACCTGATCTACTACATTTAAGTGAAAATAGCTGGTGTGGACTACAGCCGAAGTTTGCATCAGAAAAAAAGTGCATTCCAATGGAAATTTCCTAACGAACAATTTCAAAGAAATCTTTTTACATCTTAATTTAATATGTTCAAAGAGTACATTGACAAAAATAGCTATAACAGAGTTTCTCTATTTCTTATTAACAGCTACTCTTGGAGGAATATTTTTATGTGGTGCTAATGATTTAATAAATATCATTGTAGCTTCAGAATGTTTCCAAAAGTAATCCATTGTCATGGAGGGCATAAGAACACAAATCTGGCTATAAATAGACAAACAAGAAGCCAACGTTTCCATTGTCAAAAAAGTTTAACAGAGCACAAAAGTAAAGGAAAAAATCGAATACAAAGAAGCACATCATAAACATAACACTGCAAAGAAATGAAACTCTACACAACAGAAAACACGTTCATCAAAGAAACCAGGAAAATTAGAAAATGATAAAGCACCAAATCATAAAGTTTCAATTATAATAAAAAGTACACTCATCAAAGTCTGTAAAAAACCATACATGAGCAAGAATTTCAAATTATAAATAGGAGTCTTAAGCTATCCTAACCTGCAATGTACTAACACTGTTGCTGATTCCAACGCAACACGAGCAGCAATCCAAGAAGAACCAGCCAGAACACTCTGAACATGTATCAACCAACCACTATCCCCAAGAGTTGACACTGAAGCAGACATACTACTGAGATTACCACCTCCCCAAGTCCATCCACCATGCCTCTGTCAATAAAAGGCAAGTGTAACGAGACAAGCACAGAGTTATACACCAAAGTTCAGCAGAAGGGCCTAAGTTAATTTTCAACTCCATACTGCTTTTGCCAGTCAAGTGTAAAAAATGAATGGTTCGTGTGGGTTAAGAAACATATCAAATTAACAATAACTGAATGGATGGTGGATTAGCTGTCATATAATCTGAAGGTAAATAAAAACAATAAGGAAAAGAAACAGCATTTCTTCCTTCGGAAGCCCTGCAACAAATAATCAAGCACATCAACTTTCTTCTGGTCGACCCATTTTGCATATCCAATGAGTTTTCTTCGCAAAAATAGCAGTGTACATTCTAGGCATTTTTAGATTTGGATTCCCCTTTAAAAGTTAAACCAAGGACTCATTATGTGTGTGTGTGTGTGTGTGTGTGTGGTTTCAGAAATTCATGAAAGTAAGCACTATTCACGCAACTGATGATCAAATCAATCAATAAATCTAGACATTCTACGGTTAAAATTAGTTGATTAATCGAAAACTACTTGAATCATTTTTTAGTTCAAGTAAGATATTTGGTTCATGTAACAAAAATTATTATTTATCAAGTTACTGGTCACAGTGTTTAAAATAATTCTATTAACCAACTCTCAAAATCAAATTTTCTGATAATAATTATCAGATCAAGTAATTCACATTGAACGTGGCTTTAATTAATCATAAAGCCTAAACCAATTAATGACAGTTACTCGATGACTCGGGCTTAAGATAATTTCAAGACTAATTGATTTTTGAGCAAAGATTTTAGATGATGCATTTTCTTAGTTGGAAGGGTACTAGATTACTCGTTATGGTGATGTGCTCATATTTTAGTGGTGGTACTTAAAATGACAATGCTCATGAAGAGAAAAGATCAGGTATACAACCAGATGTGCAGTCCTTGGCATTATAGTTAATTGGCAAGGTAAAAAGATGAACTTCAGTATCATAGTGCTTTCATACCAGTATATATTGCCTGTTGGACATAATTCAGAAAGAATGGAGAAGGGAACTAAAGATGTAGTAGCAAGAACACTGAAAATATGGAAATAGGACTGGAATGCATTATCTCTGTCCACAAACCATATTTGCTCCCTATAGGATTGATTTTGGTGCTTAAAAGGACTCATGGCAAATGGTTCGTAGGATTGAACAAGCCTTGAAGAAGAAAAGCACTAGTATTTCATCTTCCAAAACATGAAGAACACAAAAAAGGTTTGAAAATGTATATGAGAATTGGGAAAAAAATTACTAAGAATTGAAATGAATTCTAATATGTTGTTTTAGAAATTAAAAACTATCACTTATTTATAGTTTTTCATCAATACACCATGAAAAGGCTGAAAAGTTGAATATTTCCCACTAAAAGGCACCAGCAGAAAACAAATCTGGAAGCCAGTCTTAACGGCTTGTTTCCAGGACCAAGCACACGCATGGGCATCAGCCATGCGTGCACATGGCTTGAAGCATTTAGCCTCAGTTTCTGCAGAGGCGAGCCATGTGCACATTCGAGTGGGCTGAGCCATACGTTGTACAAACCATAGTTTCTTACTAGAATACGAAAAAGTAAGTTTACAATTGATCAGAGTTACTAGCCAACCATGACCAATTGGAAATTTTTAGTGGCCAGAGCTTGAAGTACAGACCCGGCCACATACACACCAAACAAAAAATTTCACTGTTTGTTAACCCAAGCTGAGGTTGCTCTTTAATGGAAAAAGTACAAGGTCTTTGAAAACAACTCAGAAACATACCAAAAATGACGACATTCCATCTGATGAAGTGGCCCCATGAGTATCCACATAGTCTCTAAGCCGAGAAAGGCTATCTCTCATGGCATGTATGTTATCTATTCCAAAGAAGACTATCTGAAAGAGAGTTCAAATGAAAGAATATGAATGTACAAATCAGAAGTGATGTGATATTGGAATGCACAATTTGATTGCAGAAACCTTGAACAGACCTCAGATTGAAAATAATTGGCAGACGACTCTGAACCACCTCCCATCGCTCCATTTGCTAAAGCATTTTTCCTAGGTCTTGCATCAGCGATATACAACTTCCTAAATGCATAAAATCATTCAATAATGTGAAATCTCTTGAAAACAGATAATGGACATGTGTTTATTTAACATGTCTCTGGTACTGAAATAGATTTTGTTCACTGAATGATTATTGCTAGCTAAAGAGAGAAACAGAATATTTAAGCATAAACAAATACTAAACCTCAAAATAAAATGCCAAAAAAATACCTCTTTTGCTCCTTCGTTCCAATAAGTTGAGTTAAGAGTGCAGCAACTAGCTTCTCATCAGCATTGCTGCGGATAAAGAACATGCACTCAGAATATTTTGTCAAAGAAAAATGTAAAATTACTGGATTCCTTCAAAACTTTTGTCAACCAAAATTTTTTAACGATCGCGGTCATAATTCCAACTTTCTAGTTACCATAACAATGCAGCAGAGAATTGAAAGCTGCAACGGCAACAGGGGTCCTGT